TCATGAGGTGTGTAGTGTTATTGACCACGAAGGACAGGTAGGACTTTTGACGTCTCACACCAACACCAGCAGCCATAGTGTCCGCACAGCGAGAGGAAATGCTGATAGGACCGCCACAACATAGCGATTCAAGGTATGGGCGTTTTCTTCCTACATGGCAGCAGACCTACTTTGACTTTTGTTTTATGACTTTATAGTTCCCAAACAAGCGCTGTACACATGTCACTGTCTCTATATGCTCTACACAATTTTACAAAACAAAGTACACAGAGGCTATAATGGATTACAACCGGCCTAGGCGCGTTGGATATCTTTGAATTATTATTTTAAAAGAACTCACAGCGATGATGAAGGTTCTAGGGAATTGTTTCTGCTTTAAATATGACTAATTAATTTAAGGTACTTCTCAAAGGAATACAATGAGATTATTTATAACAAATGTAAAGTTAAAAACATTAGCCTAAATAAAAATGTGCAGAAATTTCCCGCACAATGTGGTTAATCTCAAATAACACAATAGGACTAGTACAATATGTAGTCTAAAACTATTTTATAAATAAAATATAGTTTAAAGAGCTTCTGTTTCTTTGGAAAATAATCAAAATTAAGTCACAATATACATTTAGATTAAGAAAGACACTGGACACAGAATTATATTGCGCATAGACCCATCGAAAATATTGTTTGCCGTCAATTGAAAAAAAAAATGGAATTAAATCACATCTTCCGAACTACATCGACGTCTACATACACTTTTCTCAAAGTGATTTTTTTTCATTTGTTTTGGTCGTTACATATGCCTATCAAACAACTTAAACCACCGGGGTTAACATACGCTATATTCTGACTGACGAATAAATGTACGCAAATATGAAACAGTAAATCTGCTAGGATGTATTCCAGTAGCCTAAATAAAACAAAATGTTCTAAAAGCTTTGAGACGTTTCCCCTCACTGATCAGGCATGTTTTGGACACTTTAAACATAAAGTTGCATTGATTTCGGTTGTGTGTGGAGGCGTGGGTGCTGCAGGCCGCTGTCAGCATACACATGAGACAGGGGGCTGATAACCTCTGGTGGTGACCAGAGGAAAATATCAGGAAGTGTTGCAACCTCATTCAGAGACATTTCACTTCTCTTTATTCCTTTTTATTGTTAGGACACTTCTTAAATAGTACCATATAAATAAATACAAAGTTTTTTTATAATATGTAGTCTATGTACTTCAAGCACTTTAAGCAGCAATTATTTATGTGTGTGTGTGTGTGTGTATATTCATATGTATTATTTATATATATATGCATATATATGTGTGTAGGCCTATATATACACAGTATATATATACATATATATATATATATATATATATATATATATATATATATATATATATATTTTTTTTTTTAATTGGATGGTACAAGTAATATAGCCTACACATTATTACTGAGAGAAAATATTTTTTCTGCTCTTTCGTTATGGGATAGATATAGGCTACATTTATTTGAACATAAATATGTATATGTAATTATGTGTTGTGCTTTGACAAGTCTCTCCGAGTAGAGTACTATATTTGATAATTTGGGAATCACTTGTCGGGGCAGCATAAGACGGACAGTCATGAAATATATGTTATCATTTTTCTTCTATGAATATAATGACTTGTTCCGCACATTTGACAGCGAAGACCATTTAAAAAATCTCCTCGTTTGTGAAAGATTTTCAAAATAAATCCCACCTGACCGACGCCATCAAACAAGTTCAGTTAGAAAGTGTTTTCCTCATGATTACGGAAGTCGTGCATGAGTAGTTCACATTTAATTCTCGTGATTGAATATTAATTGTGCAAGCCTATATTGATATAAAACACACACGAGCCTTGTAATCTGTTACATTTCGAAATAAAAAATTTGGTTGAAAGAAAATTGAATAAGTTAAAATATTTTTTTATATTTGCAGCAAATAGGCCTGTGGCAGTTTAAATGTTTGTATTTAGGCATTGCTATAATTTGCAATGTGTAGTGTGCATATATCTACATAGTGATGGTGACAGATTGAGTGGCTGTATACGAATATATTATACAATTTTGAGAATATAATTATGTAACTTTTGATATAAATCAATTTATTTTTAACAGATACTTCTTTGAATATATTAAGTTTTCTCTGAGCAAAAAGTTTGATGCTTGAGGCCACAAAGTCTTCTGCTGTAAACAAATGAAACAGATCAGCCAAACCTTCAAGTTAAAACGCTAGCACTTTAGTGGCTTCTTTTTAGACTTCCCTTGGTGGTTTGTTTTGCTTGAAGGAAGCTTTAAAAGGGCCGCACAAGGCTATAACTGTGCCAACCTGCCTGCAGAGAGTCAAAGAGAAAAAAGGAAGAAAAGCCCTTTGTTTAGGCTATTGCCCTGTCTGGACAGGAGCTGCGGATTCCTCAGGGGCAATTTCAATATCGCGCAGACAGTGGACTAGACAGTGACCTTGACAGTGCTATATGCTGCCTTTACCAACTTCTTTTTTAATGGCACATTTTCGTTTAAGTAAATGAGAGTCCCGGGCCTGCAGCTCACGGTTACAAATGACATCATCCGCTGAGCTGGAGATGCAGTGAACAGACGAGCAGTTGTTTGAATGAGAAATGCGGATATGTAGGAGATCAGGAGCAGAGGAGTGGATAGACTAGGCGAGGAAGCGCAACACATGGCCTCTTTCACTGAGGTAAAGTGGAGACTACAGCCTACATGTTACACTCTCTACACGGCCATCCGGGCCAGTTTGTAGTTAACATCACACTGCACTGTTTTTCTTTTGTTATTATAACACACCCAAGAAGTGATATCAAGACAACCCAGTGCTCCTCCAAGAGAGCGAGGCACATAATATTATACTGGATTGATGTTGTGCTGCATTGCGAGACTCACTAACTAGATGCAAGTATGTGTAGAGATATGAGGGGCAGAGAGGCAGGGGACAGGCAGAAACGGCAGAGGATCCCCTAGCTCCTCCAGTTTAAACAGCTGATATTTTTTTTTTCTATTTAAGGCTGAGGCAGGCCCGCTGCCTGCGGGTTAGATAAGATACACGCTCACTGATGTCGGATACAGCTATCAGATGTCGGCTGACTGGCAAATCGTTCCCAAACTAACGTTTAAATGAGTGCTGATGTCTCACATAACACCTCATTGGCAAATTGGTAGCGCTCAAGTGTTGCTATCAGCACGCATGTGCAGGCTGTTGTAACATGCACCATTTTTGTTGAGCCTCTTAATCAAATAATTAACGAAAACATTACGTTTGTTTTGTATACTGTCGATAATATATTTTATTTTATTTTGAGAGCAACATATAGGGATATGATAGGTTGATTTTAAATGAGCGTAATGACCACGGCGCTTCCTATATGCACTTCTTTTTTTATCTGTTGAGCTATTTCCCTCAATTTAAGCTACTCAAAAGTTTGTTAAATGTTAAATATTTTTCTATTCATATTAATTTTACTTAAAATTGACATTTGAGTTCAACATCAAGTTCAAACCACCGTGACTGCGGCTTGAACTTGAGTGTATGGATGGTGACGAAAATGTGTGTCTGATTATATAAAGGATTATTTTTCTAGTTTTATGAATTTTATGTTGATCAAATAAAAACTGTTATATTATACGTTTATAGCCTACATTACTAAAGTGTACTGTTTATAACTTCCTTTCTTCTTGAGTTATTCAGACTCTTTTTAAAGTGACATATAATTGAGACATTAGCACTCCCATTATTGAGATGATGTGAGGACTTTTAAGATCCATAATTTGATTTTGTCGTCTCATAAGTAGCCGAGAGTTTCAGCTCTGTTTAACAGAAAATGAATTCATTTGGGTGAAGTTGATGCGGACACAATTTCAGGATATCGAAATCTTAGAATAGAACATCTTCCCATGTTTATTCTCTATAATTGCAGAATGTATAGACTCGGGAGATGAATGCAAAAGGCACAGATCAGTCATAAGAATTTATTAAAAAGTTTGATAACCAAAGGCCTTATTGTAAAGTATTGCGCAAGGTGTGTGGTGAAATGCGGAATCCTGTTCATATCAGTGCGAAGATCTCTGCAGAAAAACACTCCCCTGTGGTGGACACTGCAACTTATTTACTTAGGTAATAAAATATGAGAAAAATTGTCAAAACAGAAACATTACTACAGTGTGACATGGCTCAGATTTGCTCAGTGTCTTCAGTGTTGCTTCTACAAATCAACTAATTAGCGCGAGATAAAGCAGAGCCTCTCAGCTGCTCGGATCAGTTAAGTGGCCTCTGATATCTTGTAAAATTCATATAAAAGAATTGTGAGAGGTATAACAATCCCAGCAGAGTTTGGCTGCGAACGTTTATTGGAGGTATCTGTTAAAGTTGTTCATGTGAGGTGTACTAGAGAATATAACGTGAAATATACCCTCTTAAAGTAACCTTGTAGAATATCGTCCTGTTTTACTGAGCCACTGGCTTCAACCTGCTGACCCCTTTACTGTAAATATGAGCAGAGTGCGGCAATGAGCATCAGTCTTTTCTTAAAACAAGCTTGTAAAATTGGGACATCACAGCTTTATTTGACATGAAATTCAGCCGTAATTTGCTAGAAAACAAGATGTCATGTGCACCTTCTTCTCCAGCAAGAAAAACAATTTTCATAAGAAAAAGCGTTTAAAAAACTTTACCCAGCTTATAAAGAAATTAAACAAGGCCATGGACAGTTCCAGCAGTGTAAGTGGAGAAGCAGCTCGGGCTCCTTTTGGGCTCATCATGACTCAAATAAGGAAAAACAAGATTCTACATTTTTAATAAAAGCTTTATAGTATTTTTAAAAAGCATATAAACCCCTGTAATACAGAAGTTAATGTTTTGTTTTGTCTGAGAGGGACCGAGTGGGTGGTACTATGTGTAGCAGAAGTTAGCCTGGACACGTGGTTTGGAGATGACCAATCAGGCGCCCCTCCAGGTTTAACTATGTTAAATGTCAGATTGCAATAAACTAGAAGCTGTTGGTCGGGCCCGCGGAAATGGGCGAGCATAATCTCCTTAATCCAGGGTTTGTGGGACCTTTGGTAAACATCCACACTGGAGACACGTTTTATTTCCCGAATTTTCGAGCTTCAGGGGGACAACTGGCGGGGCTACCGTCGCTCTCCTACCCGAGAAGGGACAATGTTTGCTCCCTCCCGTGGAATCCTTCGGAGCCGTGCAATGGATACTCTCAATCCTACTTTAGCAGCCCCGTGTCTATTAACCCTTCTTTCAACCGCTCGTGTGAAATTAGCAGACCAGAAGAGGGCAAATGTTACTATAACAACGGCAGCGGGAGCAGGGAGACATGTTCAGGTGGCAGCAGCAGCCTCAAACGGGAGGACAGGGCGAGAGACACATCATCATTAACATCTGACCACGGGATGCACGCTGGGATTGGCAGCACGGCCACCTTCTCCAAATATGATTATGGGAGCGAGCAGCTAACGCAAGACCCGCCATCCTGTCAGTCAATGGAGTCCGACTCCAGCTCCTCGCTGCTCAACGAGGGCAGCAAGCCTTCATCCAGCGACACACAGACCCTGGTGTCACCGGGAAGCCATGCAAGCAACATAGCCGCAGGCGGAGGTAAGTGTCATTTTAATTTTCTAATCACAACTATTACAAAACGCAAGTTCACATTATTGAAAAGCAGGCTGCACGTAGCGTACACCGGCGGTATTACAGTGTCATTAGGGCTCGTTATCTTGATGCACAACTTGCAGCCTTCTTTAGCCTGCAGGGTGCTTGCTTGGTGCGCAAACGCCGCTAGGGGTTGCCCTAAAATACTTTACGCGCCATGTGGTTGTGTACAGTTGCAGGTAATCTCACCAAACCAGATCGGCAACCAAACCTTTGAGTAAAAGAGCAACCCTGTCCGTGCTTTTTTCGTAATGCTGAAACTAGAAAAATGTGGATTTCGCTGTTGTGCTACTTTTTGTTCAAACATTAGCACGTTGGTTTAGATAGATGGTGCACGTTGGATGGCTGCATCAAACAGAGTTTTCTTTTTAATGACTCGTAAACAGAATTAATATCTGTCCCTGTGTACTCAAGAGTCATTTAATATGCTTTGAAACTCGCAAATAAGTAGGGGGATTTGCACGCACGGTTTAATTATCACGTTAATGCTGATTTAACTACAACAATAAAACTTCCTATAACACGAACTGCAGGACATTTTGAGTTCTTAAGGAAGGGTTAAAAATAAAGAAAAGCACATGATCAGCAATTTCACTTTATTATCCCGTTTGTGGTTGTGCTGAAATTGGGTTTTTAAGTGGGCACAGGACGTCCATGGAAGAGACCAAAACAAATCCAGTTTGATATATGTGGAGGAAGTGTCAGTTTGCAGGACCGTCATTTCTCTGAATATTAATCTAACCGAATTTTAACATCTCGGATCATGTGCAAAACTCAGAAGCCATCTATGACGCTCAGACTCTCTGTATGTTCATAGCACTAGAAATCGTTTAGGAAAACAAGGTGGTTTATTTTTTGAAGCATTCAATTTTCAGATAGAAATAGCGTGATAACTCTGCAGGATAAAACTTCTAAATAATGTTAAATTCCATTTGCCAACACGAACCCAACTACAAAAGCATTCCTTGGACCACTGACGCCCCATAGCCTCCTCATAACCTTGGATGTGACCGTGATTTTGCAACTGTGGTGACTAATCCTCTGTATGCCCCCTCCTCTCCTCCACCTCCTCCTTCCTCTCCTCCAGCTGCCCCGTGGTACCCGATGCACACCCGCACCAGAAAGAAGCGCAAACCCTACTCTAAGCTCCAGCTGGCTGAGCTCGAGGGTGAATTCATGATGAATGAGTTCATCACAAGACAGCGGCGGAGGGAGCTCTCTGACCGTCTGAACCTCAGCGACCAACAAGTCAAGATCTGGTTCCAGAACCGCAGGATGAAGAAGAAGAGACTCATGCTGAGGGAGCAAGCTTTGGCCTACTTTTAGAGATGCGGCAGAAGGTGAATCGATAGGCAGTAAAAAATAGAAAAAAAGCCAAGCCGCCTACGCTCCCTTAGGTCTTCTTTCAGTGCATGCACTCATCTATCCATCTTTTACGTTACAGGCAATTATCAGCACATTTTCTTATCAGTTTTCTTCAAAGGTGCGGGCGATGTAAGCCCAAAAACACGCCACTAGTTGGCATTCAAAGCTATATTTACACACTTATAACAGTACTGTAATATGTTTGTTACATTCGCTCAAAAAGCTCTGACAACTGTTTCATGTATCTTGTTTCTTTTGATTTGTCAAGAGGACAATGTAAGCCACGCGTAATATGTCGCCAAGACAGTAGCCCAGATTTAAGGATGACGCAAAACGTCAACATATTTTTTTTGTTCCAATTTGAATCCGAACATAATGAAAACGGAGCGTGGCCACTTGGTAAAATGTCAAAAAAAAAAAAAAAAAAAATAGGTCTAAAAATAATAATGAGGTCAGAAAGACAGAAAAGTCTGAAGCCGAATCCGCCCAATCTTTGCTCTGTGGCTGTGATCTGATGAAGAAAAGTCTCGCTCCCACTTGACGAATACTTTTCACAGCCGTATTTGTTTAGAAAAAGAATCATTGTTTTATCATTTGTTTTCATCTGGCGCTGTGACACGTTCATGGTCACGGGCAGGAAGTCTGCATGAGGAGAGGGAGGACTTCAACCGCAATGTAATCCATATCCCTATGACAGCGCATTGAAAAAAACACCACTATTTTGTTCAGGTGCTAACAAGTTACTAAAAGTATTTTCTTACTTTTATTACCTGTCGACTTGTACGAACAACAGCTACAGCTGCAAGGGTTTCATTTCTTCAGTTGAGTTAGATCGCCGTTTGTAAATGGGTTTGAGCTGCTATTAAAAGTCCCCATCCAGACTGCCAGTTAAATAGTTTATTCAATAATAACCTCGGTAGTATCTGTAAAGGAAATATTCTAAAATAAATACATATTAAGGCCATAAGATTCAACAAAGGAGCCGCCTGAAGTTGCGTCTGGTCCGTGGAGGGTGTGTTTGAATTGTAGGCCTAAAAGAGCATTTCTGAAACCTGGTGCTCACAATGGAAATAAGTAGTAGAAGTTTAGAAAATTGAATAATCTCCCTTAAATCGAGAGGAATGCAGTGACTCATCTGTCATGTATAACGAGTAAGCTATAGCAGTGAAATGTATTTGAAGCATGTTATTGATGTGAAATAGCTATAAGTCATTTTTGCGGGCCACTTTTTCTATAGGCTAAGTTACTTTTTTTTTTTTTTTTTTTTTACATTTTATTTTCCTTAACAAATCACATGCAAACATCAAGTTTGCGTTTAAGACGCAAACGACTACAAAGAATGTATTATTATTATTATTATTATTATTATTGTTATTATTATTATAGTGAAATGACGGATGGCCTGTTAGGCATACGTTATGTACTTGCTCCTTGCCACGTGCTCATTGTCCCTCTCCTTACCTTGTACTCGTGTATAACTTTGTAAAATGAAATTACATATATGTTACTATTTGCATCCTGTTTGAGGATTCCTTATCGCTATGTATCAGTGTTTTATGTTACTGATCCTCGTGTACAATATCGCATTCCATATTGCCTATTTGTGGTTGTAAGGGTTGGAAATGTAGGCCTATTGCAGTATACTGCCAAGAATGGGTATAAGAAACGGTATGCAAGAAAATGTACTATAAATGACATTTAAAGAATCCCTGTTCCTGTGAAATAGTTGTTTGTTCTCGTTCTCTTCTTTTCGTCCCTCATCGCATTCCCTTCTTTGCGCTTGTAAGGATTGCTACGTTGTCTTGTAAAAGTAATAATGATATGAATGTATATGCGTAAGGTCTTCAATAAACAGAATATTGAAACGTTTATTGGTGTAACCTTAGTGTGTCATTGGGTTGCCTCCCTGAATGCTTTCCTTTAAAATCAGCTTTTCTGTCTGCGGGGATTATTTTATTGGGCGATACATGTAACACAGCTTTAAAATACATGTGTGTCCACTGCAGTGAAATACAGATCCCAACTTTACTGGGCCATTTTGATGAATTTGAGAGGATGTTTTGTTGGCATATGGTCGGACATGCTGTGAACTATAATCAATAGGTGCCCACATATGTTGGCCCTGTGTTATTATGGCCGCAAAGGTAGCTATAGGTAGTACTCTGTGCAAAATGGCGACCAGATGCTTGTCCCAAACCGCCTATTGCATTGAATATTTATCGTTTATTTTAATCTGAAACACTACAAAGACTCTACAACAACTGCATTATTTTTGAGCAAAGAAACACCTCCACGCGTTTTAACGCCCTTTTCCCTCCTTGAAGTTGGACCTAATCAATGTAACTGGTGCTACAAGCCTATAACGGTGCAGCTAAACACGCAACAGCTCTGTAAAGCAGTAATAGGGTTACACCCCAGTGCTCCATATAGCCGAGCCTCCTGGCCAGTCCTGTTCCATGTGCATCCCCTCTTCTGGTTTGCATTAGGGATTTTAAAGGCGTTGTAAATATAAAAAAACAAACCCAGAGATCAGATAAAAAAAAATAAAAAAAAGATCTGATTCCTAAAAACCACATAGATGGTTGTATAATAAAGTCCTATTACGTCCTCGAAGCACTCCCTATTGGCAGAGACTGTGAGCATGTGCAACATTTTCCTAGATCAGTTAACTAAGCGTTAATGCGTTTGTCCACAGCAGCACATGCACTCTATGCTAGATGGAGTAGGAAACTGTTGTGCTGTCTTTATGTTGAGATCACATGTTGCCTTTTCAGTGAACTGTGTACGGCTGCTCCTGCTCACGAGCCACTGATCGGCCTCCATGACTTCTGCAGTGTTCATGACACATGGGCGATGATGTAAGCCCACAAAGAATCCATGATATTTTATGAACTACTGAGTTTAACATTGAACAATTTTAGAATGGTTGAGATTCACTGGCATTGCAAAGAGAAACATGTGGCTGTATCTGACAAAAGCCTCGCTGCAGTGCTCAACTCTTCATAACGCCCCAAAACTAATGATGCCTCTGCGTCAAAAAGAAGCCTGTCTACCTTGCTAAAAATGTCCACCTTTCCTAATATCCCAACAAATTCCCCTTTTCGCTTGATTTCAATCAAGCGAAAAAACAGAATTATTTAATTTTCTCTATAGTTCATGTTTTGAGTAACTGCCATACCCTCCAGGACAAAAAAAGGACAGTGTGAGGCGCTTCTCTTCGATCGGGCCCCAATGCGTCAGCTCAGTTATGAACAGAAATAATGAATAAATGTTGGTTTTCAAATCACAGCTGTTGTGAAATGAGCAAACAATTGAGTGACCTGAAATTGTTTGTGTACATACCATATAGCCTTACATCCAACAAACTAGATATATTGCATCCGCTGGTTTTATGTTTTGAAAAATGCTTTCCATGCACATTTGCGCATCTGATTAAAGGTGGTGAGAAAAGTAATTTCAACTGAATGACTACCTAGTGTTTGATCATTGATATTGGAAGACATACGAGGATCTGAATATGAATTATTCCCTCAGTATAACAAGGGAAATGCATGCGTAATGTTTTCAGAGGGAGCCCTTTTACGCACGGGACGACATGTATGTTTCAACCAAAATAATACGCAGGAAATTACAGATCGAAATGAAAATCATCACCGGAAATGTAAAAACTATTTTCTGCATTATGATTAATATCAAGACGATGAAATAGTACTGAGAGGCTCTTCAATTGCCTGTATTAATTGTGATCAACCAAACGACATCATTCACAACAACGCCAATGTTCCTGTCCTATCAAACGCGCTGTTGACCATTAAGGTGAACTAGACTCTAATGTTTGTGTGTTTCCTGTTAAATGGGTTAGACGAGAATAATAGATGCAAAATTCACCGTGACGCCTCCGACTGTCCTGCAGTACCTTAGCCATCATTTAATTCCTTCTAAAGCTTTAAAATGCTTCGGCAAATCCTAACCATGAATGCACCGTTGTAATAGAAACAGCAACAATTGTAATAACTTAATTAGGCATCTAGGTTAATACTCGCCTGTTAATGCGCAAATGGCAGAAAGAGGCGAAATTAGATATGAACTATTATCCCTTATTTGTAAGAAATTGCAGTAGATTAGTGTTAATTTATCTCTGCTGAAATTGTTAATTGAAATTTACAGCAGGGACAATGTGCATCATTTGTTAAACGACAAAGAAATATAGTCAAGGCATTAAAAAGACTCACAACATTTAGCACAGCGTGAGTCGTCTTTGCTACCAAGATCAAATGATGCAAACAGAGGTTTGTGTTTGCAGAGTAGTTTGGTGAATCCTGTGTAAAACGGTGCGGTTATTTGGATTGCATTACGTGGCAGTCTGCTCTTTGAACTGTGCCAAACGGATATGTGAACATGTTGTTTTAACTTGAACTTCAAACCAGACGAATCTGTTGGCGTTATGTGTGACACTTTTGTGTAGCCTGTTTTTTTTCAGGTATACGTGTGTCATCTGTGGGACTTTTTCTTGTGAAAAGGATTATTATTGCTAGAAACATTTGGAGTGATTTTACGCACAACAAACCACTAACCGGTGCGCTGCATACTTTGTCTGTCACCCCTTCTCTTCCGACTTAAAACATGTTTTGCCTTAAAACTGCTGATACTACTTTGCACTATTTGTTTGGTGTGTATTCTAATTCAGTAAAATATCTGTTTGTTGGATATAAAATACATTTAAAACAACTCAAAAGAAGCTATTGCGGAAACCCTCAGGATATTTGGATTGTAAAACAGGAGACATCTCGGTTGGCTTTGCAGGTCTTTTACAATAGGTCTTTCACTGCTCTTGAGCACTTTTGACTTTGAGACTGGCTAAATCTGTTTATGGCGGCCTGTCTCCGCGTCCCAAAGGTCAGTGAGCTTCACAGTGCCCTTCGCAGAGAACTTGTGTGGCATGTGGTCTACGTCCCCCGCCGCCCCTCTGCCGTTTATGGTACGGAGCTGGCTGGAGGAATAGAAAGTAATGTTATTCCTACGAAAGTGTATGTGGGGGAGTGTAGTGTGTGGGGGAGTGTGTATTGGAGGAGAGTGTTAATGTGATAGAGAAAGAGAGACGGAATGCTTAACGTGAGGGATCCATATCGTTTCACTCCTTTCAGAACTGTTATGTATTGATTTTGACATGATTTGAAATGAGTTCTTTATGGGCTCTATTTTTTCTCATCTGCGCCATCTTATCAATTTGTTTTTCAATACCATCGCACGTCCAACAACACTATATACGGGGTGTGAACGTTTCAGTGGTGCCTCTAAGGAGCTGGGTTCCTCTTAGCCCAGTTGTCTCTTGCTGGAAAGAGAAAAAATATCACAAGATTGAGAAAAAAATTGATGACGCTGCTATTGTAAATCAGAAGCCAATCTCTTTACAAAGTGGTGCTCTTATTTCGCTCCTTGCTGATTCATTGTTATTTGGGGTGTACATTTAAATGTAATGTGTAATTAGATCGTTACAACATAGTAGAAACGTGAAATAAGATGTTTGTCAGCGCCTTGGTCATATTTTACTAAGTAAAATGTACCCCGTATTTCTATCGACGTTTTCCCGTCGTATATTTAATTTAATCTAAATAAACTGCTAATTCTCTCTCTCGAGTTTTACGTATTACACATTCCTTCATAATTTCGAGTATTTGGGATGTGGACTAACCTTTGCAGGCGGCGCTTGGGCCCTAATCACTCACTGAAGGTCAAGTATGCAGCACAGAGCTGCGGTTGCTCTTAAAGCTCTGTCAGTTTATTACAATGTGTAATTTCTTTTGGTCATCTACTCAAGTTTTCTTTGCTATCGGTTCAGTGAATAGGCAGTGGAGCCCAACATTTCATCCCAACATGAACGTCAACATAGTTATGTCCAGTGTGTGTAAAGGTTCTGGCGCTGTGGAAAAGCTTGGAAAACCTGCAGCTCAGACGGCAAGGCAAACATCAGAGCAAAGTGTTTGGGCAGGCATTTCAATGATATCCGAGTCTAAAGCGCAAAGCTCAGAGTTTCTATTTTGGGTCCATACACTAAAGCACTACTGTGCAGGGCTAGCGCAAACAAAAATAATGCTTTTTACCCCGCTTTGAGGAGAACAACCAAGTGCGCGCTTCCTTTAAATTGGTTTTAAATAATAACACTGCCTGGGTTGGCCCAAATAGAACAAACAATGACAAATATGTTTCCATGTAATTCTTTTTACTTAACCATGAATCCACACTTCACCTCATTTTCTTCCTGCATACAAATGACCTAATACTTTGATCTCTTACCACACAATGAGAAAAAATACCACCAAGTTAAACACGTGCGTAAAACTTCTGACAAATATCAATATCGATTTTCTGCAAATCGGCATGCTTGGTTGAAATCTAACCAAATGTTATAATTTTGTCACTTTTAACACATTAAGATAGTCATCTGTAATTTTACCATATCAAGAACAATCCAATGCGTAATAGTTCGCATTTCGTGCGTAATATTGTGCTGGTTATTTGGGATATTTAATCAACATAATGTTGCTTTTAAACAATGGTTACATGATTTCTGTTGGTTTTTAAATGTTGTTACAGATATATCTGATTAATTTAGCAGATAATAGTGAACTAATACAGGCCGTGCCTGAGCATATCGTTAAATATATCGGCATGTGACAGGGCATAGCCTCAAGTAATTTCTGCACATAAAATGCTCTTTGTATAATAGTATTAACCATGAAGTTCAGAGGCCCTCTAGCAAATTATTAAACACTAGCTCACTTTGATATAATCTAGATTTTGTTTAAACATAGATACACTAATTCATTGTTTACTGTTTTCTGTAAAAAAAATAAAAAAATAAAAAAAAGAACTTGCAGGTATTTCTAGGTCATAGGACATGGAGCCAGCTGTCACTATAGGAGGATTTCGTGAGATGTGAAAATCATTTAATACTTCTAATAAAAAAAGTTTAACACATTGTTGTGAAAGCTTTATGTCCTAGTGGTTGAAAGAGAAATACACTCTGGAGATTGCTCTAAATGTAACAGCAACACACGTCCTTATCTTGTAAGCTATTGTTGCCACCACAAACGCTTCACGCATGGTGCATTCACTGAGACCTCAGTAAAAAAACAAGGCTCTTTAGTGCTGCTTGAAACTGTTCGCAGCTCATACAACCAAGTTTAACTGCCCGACTTACATCCAATTAAACTTATCTAGGCCATGAGGGGACAGTAATATGATTACACAGGCTTCCCACATTTTGCCTTGACTTCAGCTAACTGTGCAGCAGTGTCTCAGTGAACTGCGCCCATTGTGCTTATGTGTGTGTGTGTGTGTGTGTGTGTGTGTGTGTGTGTGTGTGTGTGTGTTCTTGTGTGTGTTCTTGTGTGTGTATGTATGGTTAGTGTTGGAATAGGATTTATCGACGCAGTGCCAAACACGCTGCAATATTTAGGAACGTCCTTTTTGAACTGAGAGTTGAGAGTAACAAGAGGGTGACACCTAGGTTAACCATTGTAATTATGGCGCTAGGTTGCAATACATAACTTAAATTCCACAGACACAGTCGTAAAGTTTGCTCCAACGGTGATATTTAAGCGAAGAATGGTCAATGTTTACAAAACCCTCTCTTTGTGCGCACGCAGCTGAAAAAAAAAATGGCTACTGAAAATATTTGAGATACACTTTCCGACTCTGTTCGTCGTGCAGAAGTCCTTTGAAGACAGAATAGAAGAAGATTGATAAGTTGGTTACAGACCCCTTTGCGTGCAAACTCTGCATATTCCTGGCTGCTCGTTTGGTGCAACCAAATCAAACTTTGCTGGGTCCTACTGCTAGCAGAATATCAGCTGCTGAGAGTTGTCCATGCAACGAAATAAACACATGTGAAACCTTTTTCTTTGACTGATGGACAGGGCGCACCAAGGCGAGAATAGCCAGTGTTCAAACCATCTGAAGGTGGATATTACCAAGTGATGAACGCTAGATGCTCATATTTTGCCACGTTATGACAAATACTGCGACTAAAACGCAGCCAGGAGGGTTGTTTCCCATTCGTTTAAACACCTTAATTCCTCTTGTGTGCTGTGTAGTCTTTTAAACTCCTCTTTCGCATTCTTCACTTGATCAGCAGCCCTAACTTTTGAATTTTATTAGTGCATCACTTATTCATACCCTCACATTACTTATTTATACCGCGCTAATACGCATCAGTGAAATGATTATGATGAGGAAATGATCCGACAATATTGTTTTGGACTGTCTACTGTTCTGTTATTGCCTGCTGAAAGAAAAGTTTGTGGTTTTAACTTATTGCCAAATGATTTTTTTAAATTCCGCAGATGTGCTACTATAATCAGAGGGTTGTTGACATAGGAACCAATTTTAAAAGCGATAATTCAGAACATTTATTAAAGGCTAAGTAATATTGCGGCTTTTCGGTTTTTAAAATATTGAAATTCAAATCTGAGTCAGGCGTTATATGAACTTTTTAAATTTACAGTGCACTATATATTTTACATTGTTAAAGCAGACTGTGACATTTTGATGTGCGAATTATTATTATTATTGTTATGGAACTGTACAACACTAGCTGTGCAGCATGTGTCGAGCATGTGTCCGTTCAGGCCACAGGCCAGCATGTTTACACAAATATTTCCAAAGCTGCCGTTGTTCCTGTTCCAAATGTCACCCCAGAAGCCTTTCTTCACGGCGCATAAATCAACTTTTATATTTTTGTTTTTGCGTTCTGCTTGTCAAATTTACATTTATTGGGATTAATTTATATTAACATTTAGCACAAGAAACACGCTAAAAAGTAGTTCTTGTTTTCTTTTCTGGCCTAACTTGCTGCATTTTTTAGGTAGACACCAAAACCAAGTTGAAGAAAATGTGTTACATTGTTTGTCGTTTACAATTGAATGCATCTGTGTTTTTTGTTCTTTTTTTGTAAGTTTCCAATTATCCAGTTGCTGAAATCCAAATTCCTCTCATTCGCAACCTTTACGGTTTTCTATAGAACAAAGGGATTTAGCGTTACTACAGCCATTCGGAGTTTTATGGTGGACGTAGAGAGGATTTTAGTGGTCAAATTCAAGTGCTGTGTCTGGACAGCTGTCTGCTTTCTTTGTACTTGGATGCAGGATGCATCATGTGAGACAACCTTTTGTCTGTTGGGGTAGTAAACAAACTAATGCCAATGCCATTTTTTTTTACAAACACCCCTGCAATGGACTCAAATGTCCAAAGCTGAGCTCTGATGGTGTTGCTTTTTCTTGTCCTTGCTGTTTAAAATCACCAAAGACACTAACTTTGTTTTCAATTATTTTTGAGCTTCGCAGGTGTCCCATGTGTGATCGTAATAGAATTATAGTGTTATTGGAATATTGGACAATAATTCAAGAGTCCTTTGCAACATTTAGGAAGTAGCCTATAATCATAAACAATTGACCATCATATTAATTTCACCTTGTGAAAGTAACAGTTAGTCTATAAAGAATCCAAGATGGCCCTCAACAGGACAATTAAAAGTTTACAATGACGCAGGAAAGAACACGCAGGCGCATCTTTTCTTCAAACCATTCATTTAATACATTTTATTCAGAAAAAGAAAACTCCGGAGGGAATGCCTCTGTTTTTAACAGACACACTTTAATGTCGACATTTCTCTAGAAGATAAAATGATCACAGCAGCTTGACATATCAGCTGGGACTTATTTCATTTTAGAGGGAAACGTTGGATACATTCACACTGCCTGGTCAATAAGCTCAGTCTGAATGGCTTGTAAGCAGCCGTTAACAAAAACACTAATTGTTGCTCTGCTTTAAGCTCTTAGTCAAAAGCTGCAACCAAACCATTTAGTTTGATCAACTATAGTGAGCCTAAGGAGCCATTCTATCCCCTCTTATCACTCTGGGTATTTAATAATAAGAAGCTCACACAATGCGGTGCTGTCAGTTATCTCTCCAACGCTGAATAATACTGATTCCAGCTTTTCTTTTTTCAGAGCAGTAATTACGTTTTTTAGTGTTTCTGTTTCCATGGCACATTTTCTCTCTGGGGATGAAGGTCCCAGGGCTTCTCTGGTAGTCATCCTGCAGGAACTCCAGGAACTTGAATTGTGCAGTTTGTCCTCCATGGACTCTGTCATGATCCAAAGTCAAAGGGAATAATGGGAGCGAGCGGATTACTTTAGCGTGCAAAACAGCATGCATCCTTTGTATATTTTGCTTCTTTTTTTTTTAACGGCTTCTTCAAATTCATTTACTACATTATTATAGTCGTGCATACTGGCCTGGCACAGCAAGGTTATTCTTTAAAAACATTTGTTTAAAGAGAAAAAAAACATGTTGCATAATATCAATCAGGAGTGCCGGGCTCATCCACTCCTAAACAGTCCCGTGTGCAAGAGACTCACTCTTCCTCTATTAAAGAAAATTAAAGGCATGATAACAAATACTGTAATCATTATCAAATGATCTACTGCATATTCACGGATCACTATGTAAAAATGTCCTGAGGCGACTCACAGATTTGTCACCGTGATTTGTTCACTTTTTTTTTTAAATTGTGAAACGAGGTGTTAGCTCATGGAACAGCTTTGGAAGTGTTTTATATTTTATCTGGGCTTCATTTACAGCTATTAGTGACTAAGAGTGGTCTCTTAATGCAGATTTGAGTCTGTGTGTAGGTGACTATGATGGTAATACCTTATTTTGTGGTTAAATGTTAATATTACAGTTGGCTGTATAGGGATAGTCTTAGAAATAATAACACTAATAATAATCATAATAACAATATATTTGCCCTAAATCTCCATAATAGTAGTAAGTTCATGTGAGTGAGTGCACTATGCAGTTCTAGTGCTGTGCCTGTTTAAGGAGCTGTAGCAGCTCAGCTAGCCTAGCAGCAGCCCATGCACATAAACACACACATATCTCTTTAATTGTCATAAGGCAGCAAACATGAATCTGTTACTGGTTTTCTCAGTGCGCCTGTGGTGTTTGGACAATTATTCGTTTGAACCGCTGAGATCTTACCTAAAGCCAACCACTCCTACACATCCAACTCTTCCAAATTGATATATGACAATATCTACTTTCGATCACGTGTCTGCGGGGCGACTTAGACGGATTGCGCGTCATCTCGCCTTCCCAAATTTTTCCCTTCTGCTGCAGCTCGTATCCAAAACATCTATCTATAGTGCGGAGTACGAGAGAGAGAGAAAGATGTTTAACTCGGTGAATCTGGGCAACTTCTGCTCCCAGACGCGCAAAGACCGGACATCCGAGTTTGGGGACAGGACGGGCTGCGCGTCCAACATCTACCTCCCCAGCTGCACTTACTACGTCCCCGAGTTTTCTGCCGTCTCCTCGTTCCTTCCACAGGCCCCGTCCCGGCAAATCAGCTACCCTTATTCCACAAATCTGTCTCAAGTACCGCCGGTACGGGAAGTTTCCTACGGCTTGGACCCTGCCAGTAAATGGCACCACAGAAGCAATTATGCATCGTGCTACTCGGGAGAGGATCTGGTGCATAGAGACTGTCTTCCACCATCCACCATGACAGAAATGCTCATGAAGAACGAGAGTGTGTACAGCCACCACCATCACCATCACACCCACCCGGGCTCCAATCACCCCTCCACAGGTTTTTACTCCGGCGTGGGGAAAAACAACGTCCTCCCGCAAGGTTTCGATCGCTTTTTCGAGACGGCATACTGCAGCAGCACGGACAATCAGTCAGACAATTGTTTACAAAAGGGCGAGGGGGGAAAGCTGGAAAGCGACTCCCAGCAGCAGCAGCAGACTACAGCCTCGGTACCCGGGGCTCCTGAGCAGGAAAAAGACCCAGAGGATGAGGAGGAACATACAAATTCGGGCTCGTGTACTTCTTCCTCCGCAACAACCAAGGACGGCACCGCCAGCAAGAGCAGCCACTCGAGTAGGTATACCGAGCAGTAAAATGGGGAAGGTTAAGGGGACTAGCCCGGTGTTTTGTCGGTCAGATTTTATGTGGAGTTTTATAAGCATTCAAAGGATTTTATTATAACCCTACAAAGCTCTTTCTTGCAACGAGAAGAATTTTTACGATGGGAAAGCGCTTTGAAAAAAAAAGGGGGGATGTTATACACAGACGCCTGTATGGTGAGAGTCTGTGAAATTTTTAAGAGAGAGCTATTGTGACAAATGTTAACTTTGATCATGAACTTGCGTTGGGCATTTTAAGGGATTTTCTCGTTGGGCTGTCGAGAGTAAAAACCAATTGGGCAGAACATTGCTTTTGGCATCTTGTGAATTTTCTTTTTAGTACTGGGTTTCCTCGAAAAACTTGCTGCCCTGTGTATTACAGTATTTACGGTTTTATCTTATCCTATCTATCTATCCGTCCTATCTATCTATCTATCTATCTATCTATCTATCTATCTATCTATCTATCTATCTATCTATCTATCTATCTATCTATCTATCTATCTATCTGCTATCTATCTATCTATCTATCTATCTATCTATCTATCTATCTATCTATCTATCTATCTATCTATCTATCTATCTCTCATTTACAGACATTAAATTAATCAGTGTTAAATCGAGTGTTTTCCCTTTATATCTTAGCAGCAGGCAGAGGACTACAAATTATGCTATTTCATTATTAGCCGCAGAAAAAAAGGCAAAGCCTAAATCCATTTAGCTTTCATTTAGCATCCTTCCTCTCTATAAATGATTTGCGTGATTGGAAACTAATGTAACTTACTAATAAATTGCTATCTTTACTGATTCCTAGGGAGTGTAATAGTTCTTATTAAACGCCAAAATGGCTGTTATTGCTGCTCATATTTCCTTTATGGATGCTAAGCCTCATGCTCATTGAATTAGCCCAGGCAGGCTGCACATACAAGCTAACTGAGGCTGCAGCTTGCATCTCTCCCCATACAGAAAACCCAACAATAATAAAAGAAGAAAAAAAAAAAAATCACATGTTTGATAAAAAAAAAAGGTAAAGGGCCACAGAGGACTGCAAGAGGTCATTCTTTCAAACATGGTCAACGTATTTCTACTTAGTGCCAGAATATTGTGTAAATAGTTAGTTTAGCTCCAGAGGAATGTGGCGCACATAATGCGCTGAAATGCTTTAGTTGTTGTATATTTATAACAGATAAACACGTACTTAGAGGCTGTAAGATGATATTATTTCCATCCAAGCGATTCGGATATTTAACACTCCTTATGGTCGGTTTATCTGATAGCCTGATGACTGTTGTCTGAAATGTTATCATTACTAATGCTTCTGAAACGAAATGCTTATGGAGCATGTCTCAGTGAAAATCAATATTTTTCTTCTATTTTATTTCTTTCAAATTATTATTATTATTTTTAAATCATGTGACCTTGCTGCTATTTCTCCTTTATTTTGAAATTGTTCTGTTTTTTTGTTTTTGTTTTTTTTCTCCTTCAGGCACTCCTCGTACAAGGAAGAAGCGGTGTCCATATTCCAAGTTTCAGATCCGAGAGCTGGAGCGGGAATTCTTCTTTAACGTTTACATCAACAAAGAGAAAAGGCTGCAGCTCTCCCGAATGTTAAACCTCACCGACCGCCAGGTTAAAATCTGGTTCCAAAATAGAAGAATGAAAGAGAAGAAGCTGAGCAGAGATCGCCTGCAGTACTTTTCTGGAAACCCCCTGTTGTGAGCATGGAGCAGAAAAAGTGTCACAGTGTTGGTCAGTGACATTAAGGCCTTCTCATGTCTCATTGAATTGTAATCGTGGGCATAACCATTTTTTTAAAGGAGCCCACATCACCAACAGTGCAATGTTAAAGCGGACAGTGGGAGTCATAGGCCTGCATGGGATAAAGTCGCCATTTTCTTATTGCCCCTCGGGCGGCGGTGAATTTCTATTGCTGGTCCCCAGAAATAAAGGCCTCCATAGAATAATCATTTATACTTAATGCTGTTCTTGAATATTTCTTGAATATCTCTATTTATCACCATTCTCCATCGTGTTTATTCTATTGTTCATATAAGCATATTTGTTGTTAAAATATCAAATGTATCTGAAAATTTGAATCCGTATTGCGCAGACAACTTTGAGCTCTTCCCTTCCCTCTGGTCTTTGTATATAGTATATCATTATCTTATTGTTTCTCGACCAGAGTTTAAACAAGTTATAGCAAATCTCCAGGCTGCATTTTTCTTTTCGCCATCGAGAACTGTGACGTCCAATCTGTGAAAGTATATCCCCCCCCCTGTACAGAGTAGCCTATGCAATGTGCATTCGTGACTGTAAATAGGCGTTTGTTGAATTTCCTTTCCCTCTTTCTCCCTGCTGCTATTTTTCAGTACACCATTCAACGTTTAACAGCTTTAATGCCAACACTCGTTAAATTATTTGCTCAAACATTGGTGCTTTGGGTTCCAGAGAGGAGGAACAGATTGTTGGCCTGTGTATCATTAATATAATACATATTAAATAAACAGAACCATATAGGCAAAACATAACGACTTTGTGCTTTTTGTGCTACCGTGATCTCAATGATCATTACTGATAATGTTGTGTCGCAATTTTTTTATTTTCTCGTGCGCCTTTTTATTTTTTTCAAATTCTGTTTCTAAATGTTTTTTAAATTATTTTTTTTTAGCTCAAACTGATGATACAGATTGCTAAAAAAACATGAGCACATTTCCAACTTGTGTTAAGAGTCACTTCGTGTGGATACACACATTTTCTGCGGTCGAGTTGGATGACCAGAGTCTGCGGGCCTACACTTGTCGAATTGTTGCCTATCCTTCAGTTACACCACAGCAAAAGATCATGTTTAAATGTAAGCAAGCGTGCTAAACCAAGATAGAGGCCACATCTTAGAAATGTAGAGAAAGAGTGTGCAATGATAACCTCTTTTAGTGCCCACTAAATGGAATCGCCACTCTTAGTAGTCTAGACACTGCCATAAAGACAGAGGCACTAAATGGCTATTTTTTTCTCTTAATTGCACCGTCTGTTCGGGGGGAATGCCGTTCACTTCCGCAGTAAATAGTAAACAAGCAAAACTGGATGTCCGAAGGGTTGGGGGTGTGGGGGGCAAGAGGTTTCGACATGAACTCGGACTGGGCAGTGTGCAAAGTCAACCCCAACCCCCTCTGCACACAAGCGTCATGTCCACTCTGCTATAGGGTGCAATTGGGAAAACAACCAGAGACCTCCCATAGTGGAGATTTATCGTCATTTCTGTTGTATTTTAATATATTATTTTCCGCCTGATTTGGCCTTTAAAATACCCTGTAATTCTCAATGTGTTGCAAATCAAATAAGACTATTTGTCTTTGCACGAACAACCACCTCTTTCAACTCGTCACGTATTAATAAATACTTGTTGACTAATTGGGGCCACGTGTTATGAGTTAAACAAGAGTTAACTAGGGGAAAGGAAATAATAAACGGCATTTTTTCTCTCTCTCTCTCTCTCTCTCTGTGTGTGTGTGTGTGTGTGTGTGTGTGTATGCGTGTGTGTGTCTGTGTGTGTGCGTGTCTGTGTGTGTGTGCGTGTGTGTGTGTGTGTGTGTGTGTGTGCGTGTGTGTGCGTGTGCGTGTGTGTGCGTGTGTGTGTGTGTGTGTGTGTGTGTGTGTGTGTGTGTGTGTGTGTGTGTAAACACCCACTTGTGTTCTCGTGCAACCAGCATATGCATGATGATTGCACGTGTGCATTAACTACAATTTATAATTAAATGTAGTCTTTGAACTTCAATAATGTCAAGGCCTTCACCTTTAACCCGCTGCAATAAAGTGGAATCAAGGAGCCTCTTTAGCCCGGAAATGTGTGCCGCGGTGGAACGGGCCAATGGGAGTGAGTGGGAACAGAAAATGGAATGTGTACACAGACCAACTTTGACCCCTCACATTAAAATACAGCAGGTAACTTGGCCAGCTTTAGCACGCCCAGTAAATACACTTTATTGTCCTTGTAAAATGTATACGTTTTCACGCATGAGGCGTTTTAAACCGTGTTGATATAAACTGTAGGCCTATATTTGTATTCTCATAAGAAGTAAAACAACATGTCGGTGTGTGGCTGTCGCAGTGTGCGTGTCGTTATGGGTGGTTCTGTAAGTGCAACAAGACTTTTCGTGCGTGCATGCGTGGGAGTGTCAGTCTATCCTTTGAATGCTGTCTTCAGACGGGACTCCTGTGCGGGGATCAAAGACGTTTTCAGACAGGCCTTTGCATGCTTTCTAGTTTAACACTTGGATGAGTTAGGTATAGAGGTTTAGTTTTGAAGTTAATTAGAAGAAGAGGAAAAAGAGGGTCCACGTGACGCACAGTGTGTGGCGCATACATTAAACATCTTGGCAGGTATTTTGTCGAATTGAATTGAGAACCAATCTGCATATGTCATAGTAATATCAGGAAGGGCATGGGGGCCGTTCTGACAATGAAAAGGCGACGCACACTCGCGGAGATCAAGGCTATAGAGGTACCTCTCTCTCGCCACACCCACCAACCTTGGCCCTGGGACGGTGACGTGCATAATTTGTTGGTTTCCCCAACGCACAACGTCACTAACAGAGCGCGCTGCAGAGGCTCCTGCAAATGTTGTCTATCAACCACACGGGGGCCAGGAGTCCCCCGGGCCTCCACGCTGTGTTGTTTCCTCTATACGGGATCCTGAAAACGCTTCCTGACATGGGTGCCTCAATGACATCAGAGTGGTATTATTAGACGTAGGCCTACAGAGGCAGCCTGTGATGAGTTGTGTGTGGCAGAAGGACTGTCAACTCTGCTGGAATGCAGCTCCTGCAAGTACGGATTTTGCACTTGGGTGTTGTAGTTAAAAAGAAAATGGCGGTGTTTGTTTTTTATGCAGAAGAGGCGAACCATGTACTAGCCCATTATCATAAAAATATGAGAGAAATTTTATTTAGCCTACTTCAGCTTGACAAACAGGAGTTTTTTCAACATCTAAGTTCTATCTATTGCAAATTCAAGCATCGTTAAGGCTTGATTATTTGGGGTTTCTGTGTTAGTTACAGCCTTTATAAATATCGTTTCTCCCCAGAAGAGAGTGGGTTTATTATTAAAGTTGTAATTAGTCCCCTTGGAAAGAAAAGACCAAAAAACAAAAAATAATAAAAAGAAATATATAGCGTCCTTATACTAACTGGGAAAATAATCTATGCAAAAAAATGACAGCTTAAAAAGAGATACAAAATTAGAATTATAAAAAGACTTTGTGTCTTGTATACTGAAAACTGACTAGACACAATAGGGATTTAAACAGAGATGATTTCGATACTATTTTTGTCACCTTTGCAAATATTTGTATCCGGATGTTATCTAATCATCACTTTGAAAGTGTTATTGCGTTATTAAATGTGAAGTAAAAGTAGGTGTATTCTTTTTTCCCTCTGCAAATACTAATCAAGTGGTTATAGGCTATTGAATGGTTTTATACTACAGTGTAGTGCTCACATCTCAGCACCTTTCCTGTTCTATAGGGCCATAAAACAGTTCGACGCTATAAACCCAGCTCCTGCTATTGCTGCAACAACAAACCAAAAAAACATCTCAAAACGATTGAATTTACACTTACGCATTCTGTACTTCTTTTTTTTTAAATTTATTTATTGTTGCCCCCAACCTGAGTTTATCCGAGCAGGTTTAAAGCTAGAGACGGCAGCTTCTGTGTATTTTTTTTTTGTTGTGGTCGTGAATGGTAATAAAGCAATGCTGTTGTACTTCGATGGCGGTTTTCTTCTCTGGTTTTTAATTAAGAACTTACACGATTGTGATATTTGCACTTGCACTGAGTGTGCAGCAGCACGAGAGACACAAAGCAGAGACTCCTCATATCTAACTGGAAAGATATTTCAAAGTGGCTGCCAGTATAGTGTTTCGTTTTGTCGCCCCAGTGGCTCCTGATTAGTGCACTGAGGAAAGCTACCAAGCTCGGCTGTGTCGCACCATTCAGCACCCGAACCTGCTCCTCTGCTATCAATCGGATCACAAGTTAATGGCGAAAGTACTGACTAAAGTTTAGACAAGCGTAAAGACCTTTGTAAAATACTGGTCCAAGTCGTGTGTGTGTGTGTGTGTGTGTGTGTGTGTGTGTGTGTGTGTGTGTGTGTGTGTGTCTGTGTGTCTTGGTCATGGTCAACTAAATGTGTATGGAAATTCTTCACACGTGCCTGTATTCAAAAATAATGTTCTGCATGTGAAAATACCTTCATGTGTTGTTGCTTGAATTGTTGTATTAAAAAACGAATTTGCTCCTGTAGGACCAAAACGCCGAAATTTGAAGGAATGTCTAGAAACAAAACAACAACAACAAAACATTTGCTCTTGTTCCGAGAAATCGACTTGGATAACCCGGGACATGATTCACATTTTGTTATGGAATCAGAAAGGTATGCATGTTCGGTGAAACCTTTCATTACCTTTAATTTGCATTTTCATTCTGATTACTCATTAGAAACAAATGTAGCGCTAATAAGCCCATTCAGGTTCATTACGTAATATATAATTGGCCACCTTTTGTCTCAGCACCAAAGTACTTTTTTACTTTTCAACTGGGTCATAATACTGCACCCACTACACGATCGCGTGTGATTGTTACAGGCTCATATGCACAATATTTTTTTTAATGTGTTTTATCACAAACTATATATATACTACATGTTATATCTGTAGTTTCATGATTCCCATTTTCCCACACGGGCTGTCCTGCACCATTACACTGCTCCCTCTATGTTGCTGCCAGGTCTGTGTTACTCTGCCAGGTGTGTGACATCGCAACAGGTATTCTGTTCCCAATAATCATTTCAGCCCTCTGACTTTATATAAAAGACATTTTCTGCTCCGCCAGGTATGTGAGGTCACATCAGCAGCTCTGAGGCATCGTGATGTTCTCAGCTTCTCCTGTGAAATGTTAGCATTATTTAGAGCTCAGTGCTGCTTGAAAAGTTGTACACATATAATTTGTTTTTATTACTTTTTTGGTGCTAGGCGGAGCTGGAGATAGCCTGCAGGCCAGGTGTGAATGTGCAATAAAGCGGTGTGTGTGTGTGTGTGTGTGTGTGTGTGTGTGTGTGTGTGTGTGTGTGTGTGTGTGTGTGTCAGTGGTGTGAGGTTCTTAGGAGGCTATACATTCAGTCTGGTTATTAATGTGTCCCCTAAATGAGGCAGAATGTGTGTTTGGATGAAAGAAAGATGGATGTGAAAATAAAACCATTAATATGACTTTTCTCCTAACATTTTCCGGTTTTGTGTGAGAAACACAAGTCATCGTGTAAAGTCTTAACTTACCGATGCATGCCAGTGTTTAACTTTGATTTAGTTTTAGTTTTTTTTTTAGTTTTTTTAGTATTTTTTCAGGCCTCCATTTGTAACAACCATAAGAACAAGTTCTCCTTCCATGGCGTGTCCTCACCTCAATTAATATAAAAGTAACAACAAAAAATGCAGTGGCAAGATTCTCAGCTAACATGATCGGCCATGTTTGCGTCACATGTTTGGAATGAAAATGAGCACAAAGACACATGGTTATTGTTTTCTTTTAACTATTTATTTCACTTACAAGCAGAAGGCTCAATACACCTCTGTGAACCAACGTTCCTGTCTCATCAAAGTGGTATTTGAAGACATACAATAATAGTCTGCCCTTGCCTTTGAGAATGATACTGAACTGAACAAACACAGACAGACCGAGGCAGACAGCCAGGCTCACGTGCACACATGCACACATTGTGCTTTTTCATTGAACATTTCAAATTGGCTAAACTCATGCTATCATTATTTGCATAATTTTTAAAAGTGTACTCGAGATACGTTGCTAGGCTAACAAACTCCATTATTATCTGTTTGAGAACAATGATAAAAAAACGGATGCGACATACATTTGGGCACGTAGCTCTACAAATTATATCGAATAAAGTGCAGAATATATAAATCTAAAAGCATTTGTAAATGTATTGCATTATGTTTTGCACTAGTTCTCGTGTGGTCTGTCCTTGGAACCATTTTGTTCTCGGCTTTAGCTTGTGAACTTTCAGCAGTCTTCTTTCGCCGGTCGGTTTGGACTGGATGAAATGTCCTAAAGCGAAGATCTGTCTGCAGCTGTGACAAAACAAGGTTTCACATAACACAACACATGACAACAAATATCCCAAAGAAACGAGGGGAATGTTTAACTGAGCACAACCTCGAGAGTGAAAATGTGTCACGTGCGCTACAAACTCACTTCATTTTATAAACACAAATGAAACAATAAAACTCAATCCCTCACTGAGTATCAGAGTATCACATTTTAATAGTTAGCCTACAAAATGTATTCTCCAATGTGGAGACTGTGAATAAACTATTTTGAAAAAGAAGTCTAACTAATAATTTTTAAGGCTTTATTTTAGGTGTGTTAAAATTATTCAACGCAATTCTCATTTTCTCAAATTCCCTATTCTAACGTCCACAACACTGCAGCGTTTCCTATAGTGTCTTACATTTATTTAATCTACATGTGAAAGGAGAGGAATAATGTGGGCTACTCAACCATTTTCGTCCCAAAAAGCCTAAAACAAAGTGCACAAATGCGTGTAAAAAACACGTATTCATCCTGAGGAGAGCCATTCTTAATTCACACTACAACTCATCTGGCCTACAAATCGTATTCTGACAATTACACTAACAACACAGAAAAAGATAAGCATTATTGTCCTCTATTTAAATAACTGAAAGCACACCTAAACAGGAATAATCATTCAATGATAATTAATTGTAGCCTTTATTACAGGAGCTCGGCGGATACGCAGCGAATTACGCTTGAAGATGTTTAATGTCAAAGGAAATAAAAAGAGGAAACACTAACCCATGTTTGACGTATTTCTACCAGGATTTAGTTTTTATTTAACACACGATAATATTTATCCTCATAGGCCCGACGTCCACTATCACTTATCTGGTGACTATTAATAACGTAAAACAAATTCCATATTAAAACCGAGATAAACGACCAAGTGCGGTTTCATGTACAGTCAAACTATGAACTGAGTAAACTTATTGTCCTGGTAAAATTGCATTTTAATGAATTCATGTCAAGTTCTGTTGAAGTAGTAGTCTCATGAAGAAAACAATAATCTCAGGGTCAAACTACATCAGGCCGAGGAATTATTTGAAATATAAATGAAGCCTATGAAAACTATCCTAAACCTTCGAAATAATGCGAGTAAAACCCAATAAAGGAAGTTTTCTCAATCAAATTTAGCAGGCTGATTTAAAAAAAGCGGACATTTCATTTTAAGACTACTTCACAGAGTCAAGAAAATGAAAGCTGACTCTGTAGTTTTACGGGTAGGTATACTCCAACGTTCAATTCTTCACAGGGACCTTCACCTTTTTGTACCATTCTAAAAACAAATGTGAACTGCTTACCTTCCTTTATCGGTAGCAACCACAAAGCAAATCAGTGAAAAACAAACTAAAACGGCTGACAATAAATGCACATCTCATGACAATTCCTCGGTGGCTCCACGTCCACGGCTCAGGCGACACATTAAATCACACGAGGGTTAAACTGAATTATCTTTCAAACAGGTAAAGTTCTCAAATTACTCAGAATATAAACACTGAAAAGCCACGTAGTAATCCTGCTGCAGCATCCGTCCTTTGTTCCCCCTGCTGCAGGGCCTGGTGTCCTTACAGGCTGATGGCCACTAGGTGACGCTCTTGCTCCATCAAAAAGCTGCAAAATTCCCAACTTGACCGCGCTGACGTCACGTCAGTCTGGAGCATCAAGGCCACTTCCACGCCGCTATTGGTCTGAAAATCACATGACATGTCTCCCAGCATCCATAATTATGTTCCTGATATTTTTGCACCCCCCTCCAAAAGATGTCAGCATCCTACTGTCCTGATTCTCCTGCAGGAATCCCGAATAGTTCAGACCCGCTGAACACGCAAAACCATCCTTGTGGTACCAAATGCCAAAATGTCATGTCCGAATAATATAGCGCCCGGAAACTTCCTCATGGATTCCTTAATGGGAGGATCGTCTTCCTTCAGGGGTGACGGTTATTCGAGCAACCCCGGAATGTACATCCACACAGCAGCAGAGTACGGATACTCAGTGATGAGAAACATGGGGAAGGTCGGACCGCCTGCACTCTCCAAAAGAGACGAGCTTCCTGCGGTCGGGGAGCCTCTCAGCGGCTACCAGGATGCGTCCTACCTGTCTGCACAGCTGCCCACATGGACCCCAGGCTCCAAACCCGGCAGGGACCAACAACCTGTTGCCCAGTGTTTACAACCCTGCTCGTTTCCAGCGGGCAACGTCAAAGAGGAGGCGTTTTGTTGCCTCTATCAGGATGACAGCAATAACGGGAAACAGCAGACAACAGAGTCCACCACATACATCCGCTGGGAGACAATAGCCGCCGGCCTGAGCGGACCTCCGCCTCGTCCAGTGGCTGTTTCCAGGTGTTCAGCAGCGCAGGGAGGCCACAGCGGGACGAGCAGCAGCCGTTCCCCTCCGGCTTCTCCCTCACACACTTGGAGACATCTGTTGAGTCAGCATCAGAAGCGACAATAAGTTTCAGCAAAAAAACAGCGAGAGAGGTTTCAGAGGCAGATGAGTGTCAGAGCAGGAAGGAGGAGAAGGCCAAGAGTGACAGCTGCTCAGATAACTCGGACGGGGAATCAAAAGGTATATATTCAAACCCCCCCCCCACCCTCCTCCTCCTCCTCCCTGATACACACATGTAGCCTACATACACACGCATATAAACACACAAACTAGCCTACACAAACATAGCTGTACTGGTTTAACTTGATGACTTCTCGTGTGTGTTAGTTCTTCAAGTGTTGTGTGTGCACGTTGTGTTACGTCACGGCCCAATAATGCACGCTGGTGTTTGATAGCAGTCATGAGGGCTGTATGGGCCTTTGAAGGGCCCGCCTAGCAGGGGTTACGATGCCCGTGGCATTTAACACCTTTCCATTAATGTGAGAATGTGAGATGGGCAGTTATCATTGAAATAAACACGTTTACACACATGCACACACACAATACTCTCTCCCTGTCTCTCTCTCTCTCTCTCTCTCTCTCTCTTGCTTGACATGGGTCATTTACATTGGAAGAAGTAACTATTTTAACAGCACAATTTTACGCCTCAAAATTTGTGGTTTTTAGCCAGCATAACATTCAACGGTTTTACACCACAGTTGAAAAAGTTTGTCGTAGTGGATTGGCCTGGCCTATTTATTACCTGAGGGAGCACTTCTCAGCGTTATTTTTTTATGGATCATTTAATATGTTATTAATACAGTTTTCAATTTTTTTTTGCGCCAATACAACGAAAATTCGAGATAACTCAGACCAGTTTCTAAAACATAACCATGTCAAGTGAGATTCCCAGCACAAGTCTAATCTCCTGTCCTTCCAAAGTTGTGTTGTTTTGATTTTTTAAAGAGCATATATGAATGTTTCGTAGGCTATTGGCTAATTAGCCTATCACGGTTTAAGGTAGATTGTAATAAAACAGGCACTCACGGCTGATATCTGTGAAACACACACTTATAAAGAATTATTATGCTGTTTATATGATTGTTTTTTTTTTCTCCCACTGACGAATTAATGCCGGCATTAATGTTATCTAAAACCCTTTTGCCATTTTGTAGCACTTAGCTAAAATTAATTTTGGTGTGTTTTCGTGTCATTTACAAATTCAGCAAGCAGCTTCATTCATGAGAACATTATCATCTTTGTTCAACATTTTAAATGATTTGAGTGAGTGTTTTTATGTGTGTGTGTGTGTGTGTGTGTGTGTGTGTGTGTGTGTGTGTGTGTGTGTGTGTGTGTGTGTGTGTGTGTGTGTGTGTGTGTGTGTGTGTGTGTGTGTGTGTGTGCGCGCGCTGTTAATCCCATATCACTGAATTAAATGTTTTGGTAATGATTAAATATGGCCCACACAGTGAGTGTTCACATTAGCTTAATTATTACTGTAACGTGTGTGTGTGTGTGTGTGTGTGTGTGTGTGTGTGTGTGTGTGTGTGTGTGTGTGTGTGTGTGTGTGTGTGTCTGTGTGTGTGTCTGTCTGTGTGTGTCTGTGTGTGTGTGTTTGTGTGTGTGAGTGATAGAGGCGTTATTCCCACGAGGTCGGAACCTAATCAAGGAATTAACTGAATGTGTGGCTGTGTGATTCCCTGCTAACCTCGACATGTCTTGTTCCCTTTGTTTTTATTTGGTCTAATTCGTGTACTGTGCGTTAGAGACTTCCTTCGTTTTTGTTTTGGGGATGCACCTTCGAAAAAATTTCATTCTGGCTCGGATGTGCAGAGGTAATAAAATTTTATGGCAGTCTGAGGTCCAAGGAAGACAAAAGAAATGCTTACACACCCTGGTTTGATTTGATCTAATTATAGCAGTACATCACTCGAAAAGCAATTTGCAGTAGGAGTTGTTGCAAAACGGTGGGATGTTAACTTATTCGAGTTAAGAGTGTCGGAGAGTTCACATCCAGGTAAAGCTCTGCTTTTAAACTACTCATTTTTATCTAAATTAACGCTGCTGATGTGGATTTGAGATATGGGCGTGTACGCAGCATTTTATCCGTGCGCAAAACTATACTTTTGCTCATATTTGTTTTTTTTTCTTGCTTCTGTAGATGATTTATCTGCGGAAAAGACGACGGGAAGCTGGTTAAAAGCCAAAAGTGGAAGGAAGAAGCGTTGTCCCTACACAAAGCACCAGACGCTGGAGCTGGAGAAGGAGTTCTTGTTCAACATGTATCTGTCTCGGGAGCGCCGCCTGGAGATCAGCCGGAGTATCAACCTGACCGACAGACAGGTCAAGATCTGGTTCCAAAACAGACGCATGAAGCTCAAGAAGCTCAACAGGGAGTGCCGAGAGAGGGAGCACGGTGCAGTTTACAACTATCCCTGAAGAGATTTCTATTTACCTACACATGCATTCACACTCACATTTACACTTAGTTACACACACACACACACACACACACACACACACACACACACACAGAAACACTCACACACACAAAACAGACACACAGCATGTCAACTTAGAATGCATTCAATCATATTTCTCTTTATTCACACACACTGTGCCTTCCTATTTGAACCCTAAAAACTGCAGACTAGACGTGATTTTCATTTGAACATTCGCACAATTGGAACAGTGAGGTGCTATTACCTTGTATTAATTATTGTAATATAACGTGATCCTTAAAAAAAAGGAGTAATCTATAAATAACTCTTGGCATGGAAGCAGTTTCACTTTTTCTGGGCTGTAATGAATGTTTTGCAGCTTCTTCCTTGGTGTCTTGCTGTGGCATACGTGCAAGTGTAGTGTGCATGAAGCTATGATTCCAAAACAATGAAAGGAGGGGGGAAACAAAAGGTATTACCAACTTTGTCCTTCTCCTGGTAAAGTGGTGCAAATGAGGAGGGAGGGAGAGATACTGCGGATGAGAGAAGGAGATTATGGCACTTTTAATAGATGTGAAAGACCATAACGTTGATTTAAATATTATCCAGGTGACCACAGTAAGTCAAGGTCATAAAATTCTAATGTCAGGTTCGCCCTAGAAAGCGTTGGGGGTGGATTTTATGATCTGCAAATATAATGTGCTGCAGCAGTAAAGATGCGTTTAAAGGTGTGTGTGTGTGGAGGAGGGCTAATCCACACAGCAGAGACTGCAATGTGCACCAGCCAAGCTAAGGCGCTGGGCTGGAAGGGAGCAGCCAGCCGCCTCCACCCGGGATAATGGAGCTACATGGGAGCCGGAGATAAGAAAGATGGTGGATAAAAAAAAAAAAAAAAGGGGACAGCGACCGCTACGGCTGCAGGGACAATAATAAGCAAAGCATCGCAGCGCACACGTGGATAACTACACTCACCGGGAAGGCGTCTTCTGCAGGAGCCAACAGAAGGTAGGACTTTCTTCTCCACGTAATATCTTTATTTCCTGTATGCCACATCTGTCAGGAGAGCTCGCTTGACAGCTCTCGTGGCACGCATGGTGCACGCCTGCACATGTCGATAGTTTATCTGAAGCTGATGAGAGACTCTTCATCAGCGGGCTGCTCAGCTCTGCTTTCTTTTCTTGTTTTAATTATAATGTTGGTTGGTGCTGAATATTTTGCATAATATTTCTGCACACTTACTGCGATTGTGTTTTAAAATTGGCTCGTTTGGAACAGCTAAATGAATGTTTATACTAAGCTGCTACAAGATGCTGCTTATGAAATAAGAACAGGAAATAAGATTGACATTTTTTTTTTTTTGCTGAAGAGAATTAGAGACAAAACACAAGATGTCATGCAATGTTAAAAAAAAGTAGCTTGATTGCAGCTCTATAGTAGACAACGTGTTTTATTGTGATGGTACTCGCCTTTTTCTCTCTGCTGGATAGTGTAAATCCTCACTTGGCTGCTTGCATGAGTTCTCCTTTCCTTGGATTTTAACCCATTTTGCGCGAAGCTGAAGCGTGGTTTAGGTAGTTTCATGTTGTTGGGGTTGGCTTCCTGGCTCGGCAACAAGAAACTGCCTTGATTACGTCAGTTCGTCTTCATCAAGGGCACAATTTCCGCTGAATTACCCCCTATAGTCAACCAGGTCTCCGCAAATGGCATTGTAAATGAACTGAGCTGCAATACCTTGGACAGAGACGTTTTCTTTCTTTGCTGTTATTTTGTGGCGGGCTGTAAAAGCTCTGTGGCTCTCACAGGGAGAATAGGTTGTAAACAACATGGGGTAAAGTTTTAGACGGCGTTGTGTTGCGTCTGACAGCTGCTCCATGATGATCTGAATGGACAGATGGATGGATAGATGGATGTCACATTTTGGCTCATTAATGTATCTGGATCTATTACAGGAAATTGATTCGTATTGACGTTTTCATTATCTAATGTGAACTTGTGTTTTTCTCCTGTACATTTACGGCTGATGGAAATGTTTTATAACGAACTATAGTTTGCAACTCCGATTTTCCCTTTATGCTGAAAACTTTCATATTAAGAATGAACCTAACATGAAATAAATATGAAATGATATGATCAAAAATATGTCTTTAATGATATCATATATTTTGAAAGTAGATATTTCCCACAAACATTGAGACACATTTAAACTGACACTCATGACAGAAATCCTCTAAAGAAAGTCATTATATTTTGGCAAAACGTGAATGCATTTTTGTGTGCAATAAATAGCTTATCTCATTGGTGACTAACCTTGCTGTTCACCATATTGTTTAGCCAGAATCTGTTTAGCTCATTTTTTTTTCTCAGGCCCGTAAACGAGCCTCAGCCAGACTTCTTGCGTGTTTTACATCCTATAATCCCTTCATTTTACTAATAAAGACGCAGGTTTTTCGGACATAAATCGAGTTACCAGATATAATACTCCCATCTCCTTTAAATACAGCCTTTAGTAGCCTTAATATTTATTAAGTTATTTTGGTCCAGTAGCAATAACTTATTTACCTACGGGCTCATTTATTCATGTGTGAAATGTGTGTGAGCAACTGACAATCACAAGGTAAAGGCCTAACTTTATTTAAGCCTCACTTCTGCCAGTCATTTACTTAATGACATGTGTAAAAAAAAAAATCTGTTATTTATGATAAAGTTTCAGAATAAATGTGATGAAGCAAATATTAAGTCTTTAGGAGGAGTGATGAGTTTGTGTACAAGAAAAACAAGAACTTATTTATAGAACGGTTTGTGCTTGTGGCGCAGTCAGCATTTTTCCTGCTATAGGGTCCAGTGTTTATACTGGACACTATTTCCCCTTGTTTCCCCCCCCCCCCCCCCCTTTGGCGGTGGTGCAAACTGGAAGAGACAGTCTGGAATCCAAAGTCACTTTCATTCAGCTCAGTGAATGAGTGTCTCCCTTGGAATGCATCACTGACAAAGACTTTACAGCGCTGGAAACAGCCCCGAGAGCCGCACAGATTCACCCTAAAACCATATAGACATAAAGCAATTCATTTCACTTTGTAGTGGCGCACAGGAACTGAAGGTTTCACACACACACTTCCTTTGGACAGCTCGAGAAGTGTTACTGCCACTGGCATGATCAGACATGAAGAAACCATGCTAGCGGCTTTTCTCTAACTTTATCTTATTTTACTTTTTTTCTTATCGCGTTTTTCTTGTTGGATAAAGGATGCATTCATACCGCGTACTTTATTCATAACGCTCTTAAGAGGCCGGACGCTTATGCAAATGTAGGTTTCGAAAGTTGTGAAGCAAACTCCAATCAAAGGTCGAATTGTAATTTTTTTTTCCTTTGCAAAACATGTCACAATTTAGAATAATTCTATTGACATGTGTGAATTGGTTTAGAGCTGGAAATCATCATCTGTTAATTCTACGCATCAACGACATAAAATATAGCCTACATAGGTTATTTTTATTCTAAGGAGTATGATCTTTATCCCACAGAAATATCTTAGTTACTTAAACCAAGGTAAACATGTTCTGTAGAAAGAAAATGTTAAATGCAATCCAAATATTTGTGTCAAATATTCTTGACGCCTCGAGAATATTGAATCGATCCGTAATTGGTCTTGGAACTTGTAACGCTGGAATGGGGGAGATTAGAGTGTTTCGGTTGAGACAAATGATTTGGAAAACGATGTGGGACTGAGCATTCATGGATCTGGACTTTCAGAAATATGCGATTACAACGGAACATTAAAATAGGCTCCAATTTGGTTTACGGATAATTCTGTGGCCAGCTAAGCACACAGTTACTCTTGTTCGTGTGGGGATTTCTGTTCTGCACGAGATCTCAAATAACTCCTGATATCCACTTTCCAATATTCATACAGAGTTAATCTGTGTGCATTGTGGTCGAAATCCTTCGTAGAAAAACCAGTAGTTAAGTCTATTTAGAAAGTGAAGGGTAATCACTGAATTGAATAGACAATGTGACCTCACCCTGTCATTACGCAGAAGCCACCAGTGCGCGTGTTATATAAGAAAGCATAGTTTACATCGCTACTTTGTTATTTATCCACCCTGTAATTGACACACCCTGGGAAGTGTTGATGGAAATGCAAACAAACAGGGCACATGCTTCATTCGCATTGAAGATTTATCATATTTAAGGGTACAGGAGATTTTTTTAGATGGATAATCAACCTTCTCTTATAATTGCTTTATTATTATAAGGTTGGAAATATAGACTCGTCTGCAGCCTGCCAATCTTACATTATCAAATGTCTACGGTGCGTTTCCCCTTTTCCAAGCAAGGGCAATTTTCTCAGCAGTTATCCTTCTTTGCATTTTACGCCAAAACTGGATCTAATGACAGTGATATGTAGGTATTGGTGTGCGTCTGTACTCAATTTCCTTTGTCTATATTTTCGTCTTAATCGCAGTGCTGCTACATCCAGACTGTTCCTCCCTGTAATGTATTGGTTTGACTATACTTTTGAAATATGACGGCTTAAGGCTGCTTGTTAACGCCATTCATCTAAAACAAAAACAACATTGTCCTCTTCAGATGTGACCATGCTTACGTTGGCCTGCAGGCTTGGTTTATGCGTCATCCTGCACATCTATAGCCCATTTTATGTCTGATGTGCATTTGTTGTTTATTCGTGAATAGAAAAGCTAATTGTGTAAATGCCAAATAAGAGAGATGCCAGAGCCATGAGGACTGATAGCATCAGATCCAATCATATTTGTAATCATCACTGACTGATTACGTCGCTATAAACCTATGAGATACATTTCCGGCTTATCAATGACTTGTGCCGAGTGAAACAAACACAACAAACAGGCTCCATAATCTTACAGAGTCTAGGGATAGAGAGAGTGGTATGTTGTGCCGCCTACATAAGCATTCATTGGCGTCTTTAATATTTGTAGCCTAAGATAAATGTATCTGTAGACGAAGCAAAAGCCCATTTGATTTGATTTCAATAAACCAACAGTTTTGTGCCAGTCTCTCATTGTTACCTTCACAGCATGTACTATTGCTTATTTATCAAATTCAAGTCTTAATTTTCAAATTTAAATTACAATGTCATACCAATTAATTAAAACACAAAATAGACACGACTGATTTGGAAGGCTGTATTTGTCTAAAACATTAAGGAAGCAGGAAATCAATATATGAAATACGAAAACAAGGTTTGGTGATGCAACAAATAACTACTTCTTCGGCCGCATAATCTTAAATGATTTGGTCGCAACACCAGCTGTAATAAAGGGCGAAAAGATAAATTAAAACAACAAAGACCCATTTAAATTAATTTATTGTTTTATTAGAGCACAGAAAAAATGGGTAAAGATGAACTTGATACATCATTTTTTTTTTTTAAATAAACACTTCTATTTGATGCACACAGCCGTAGACTCACGTTCCGTGCACATTCACTCTAAATAACACGTATATAGCCTATACATGCAAACACTGGTGTACACCCGCACACCCAAAACATTAACGATTATTCACTGGATAACTGTTGACAGAGATAGAAGCCACATCATGTATTTATATGGCCATATGTTATGGTAATAAAGTCTCACTGAGCACTTTTTCATTCACTTGTAATGGCAGCAGTAGAATAAACGGGCTCAGACCTTCAGCCTGCACAAAAAAACACACACATTTAAATACCTCACATGTAAGATTTACTAAATTGAGTAGGCATATATGGCTGTAATTCTTTAAACATGAGGGGGAATATTTGACTCACCAAACACTGGCGCGTTCACCAGCACACACACACACACACACACACACACACACACACACACACACACACACACACACACACACCGTTTGGTATTATCCGGTTAAGGTCTGGCGTCTGGCCTTTTAAATTTCATGGTTGAATCTGAACTCAGCAGCCATGACAAACATCGCACTTTCTATATGCGTAGCTGTTACTGTGTGAAACTACATGTTATGGACCTCACGTTATGAGTATGTACGAATTACTTTATTTGCAAGTGCAAGAATTAGTTGAATATTATTCTAATTAGTGACGACATTGGATCATTGGCACTTGGATACCATTTGAGACTTCATTTTCATATAAACACTACTCGTCTAATAAGCATAATAGCCACTTACCATTAATATTTTTTTGTTATAAAGTTCTTCGTCTTGTTTAAACTTGTATTCCACATTTGGGATTTAATGGTACACCGTGCACAACTACTGTTATGTAACTTTTGCACATAAAGATTGCAAAAACTTATAACACATTTCATGTTTTACTCCCTCGTCTTTAGGTTTGGAGAAAACAAATGAATTCTCAGTTTTTCAAAATCACTGGTCCAAAGTAAAGGAAAAACGATTGAAAAAAATCTAATTATAAGTTCAATTAGGCACATCAACGCAAGCAACACACTTTTTAAAAAAAGGCTGCAATTCACTAATCGCGAGAAATGGCTTGATTCATGATTATGCATGCAAGTTAATGTTAAGTGTTAAGTGCATCACAATTACACACGCAGCATCACTATTTCTAGATATGTGCAAAGATCGCCTTGCAACAGAGCCACCACCTCACTGTGATTAAATGCAGAATTTCTACATCAGCTATGTTGTCATTCTTTTCTGCACGTGTGCATCAAACGTTCAACTATGCATGTACCAATTAGTCTAATACATGTTCCCTGTGACACTGCTGACTTCACTGGTTACTCTTTCTTCACCGTATATTAGTAGTGTTATTTTCTGCAACCCTTTTGAAGAACTCAGTGCTATTTCACAGCCTCCTCTCTGACAAGCTACACCATTATATAACAGGGTAAAACTTCTGCAATCAGATCCAACAGTAACATGATCCCTGTTATGAAAGCTTTCATGTATTTAGCCCTTTAACGAACCTTTTTACCTCCTCTGCTTGTAGTCTCCTCTCTCCTGTCCTCGGCCTCTCTCTCTCTCTCTCTCTCTCTCTCTCTGTGACAGGAATTGTTTCTCGTACATTCACCGCTCGTGGTTTTATGTTGAGCGAGGAACTCGGATGCAGCCTTATTAACGACACGTTTATGAACAATCAAATGGTCCTCGTTAAAATTTATTGATGGGCATAAAAACATGAACGGTCACTAGCCGAATATAGCCCGCTGTAGTGGGCTGCTTGTCAAGAATTTGAATCCCCTCCTCTCCTATCTCCTCAGATCCCATTTAGGAAATATTTGCTCTGTTGCGCGCTCGTTAAAACGGTGCAAACTTTATTGTTGATGTATCCCGCAACCCGTATTTTGAACCTTCCTTCTCCTGTCTTCTCTTCATGCAGCTACTGCAAAGGAGTGTTGTTTAGAAATAAAAATCATTACACAGGAAGTTCTAAAACCTTCACTTTATCACCTCTGTGGCTGGTTTGATAAAGATAAGAAGCTTCAGTAATCCAATAAACACTTGAATGCTGTAACACTATCCACAGCAATAACTGAGCTACGGTAGGTTTTGCCAGACAGAGATTAATGACACCATCAAATAGTTCCTCTCTCGGTTTTAGACGTAATGCGCACAGGGCTGCACTGCGCCTACACGGATCTACTATCTCCAATCCAAATAAATATGTTCTCTTTAAGTAAGCATGTTGTTGACGTTACCTCTAGAATGTCCATGAAAAAAAGCAAAGGGGTACTTTCTTTAATCCCTTTTATGTGCAACGGTATCCCAGGATAAGCGGCGCATTGATCCACTGTACAATTTTTGTGGGGGTAAATAGAATCACGTGTCAGCGAGGCAGCCAATAGCAGGCGAGGAAGCGTTGAGAAATAATTACCTGCCTTGATTGTTCTATGGCTAGATAAAAAGTACACATACACTCCATATAATAATCGGATGCATGTAAAAGAGTCGGGGTAGCTTCGAAATGTCGACCACGGGTCCCATAACTAATTATTATGTGGACTCCTTGATCAACCATGAAAACGAGGATGTCCTTGCTGCAACTCGCTTCTCGGCTCCCGGTTCGCACTCAGCCGGCCCTCGTCCTCCGTCTCTAGTACCGGAGTGCGCCGACTACCCTTCCTGCAGCTTCGCACCCAAGCCTCCCGTCTTCTCCACCTCCTGGGCCCCCGTCCACTCCCAGTCCTCAGTGGTTTACCATCCATACAGTCACCAACCTCACTTAGCCACAGACTCGAGGTATATGCGCTCATGGCTGGAGCCGATATCAGGCGCGGTGCCTTTCCATGGCTACCCGGGGAGCAGCAGGCACTATGGGCTCAAGCCCGACGCCTTCCAGGAGCACAGAGCTGGAGAATGTCTGAGCTCCAGCGGACGGACCTACACGGATTATCTGTACTGCTCCTCCACTGACATGCGGGACAGGACGCCGCAGAATGTCCCCTCTCCCGAGTCGGAGATTCTGGCTTCAGAGAAACATAAAGACGAGAAGCCGGAGCTAGATCCGAGTAAGTTCAAGCTCCTTTTACAACCGGGTGGGAGTTTCGGTTTGGGATTGTGTAAAACCTGTTTAGAGGCATTTTAACGTCCTGCTTATAAAGTGTAATTATATACAGTTTACCCCCGTTCTTTTCAGCTTAGATCCGGATAGCCTCTGCTATGGGGGAAAGCTGTAGGAACTATAAAAGACAATCGCTACCACGCTAATATTGGGGCTATAAAAGCAGACAGGGTTATAAACCTGGACTCAAACCTACAGGAGGACGTTGAATTTGGACGCATGTGCTATGATGTTAAAAACATGCATTGATTTTCTCTTTAACTATCGAAATATGAATATATATCTACCACTGAATGCGTCATGATGCATTTTTACAACCATGTTTCATCTTGTGCTTTTTTTTACGGCACATGAGGCTCATGTAAGCCACCTTATCTCCTGTTTCCTTCTCAGGCCCGCTGCTTAAGAAAAGACACATTTCCCCTCATTTGATCCCCAGCTATGAAACACATGATTTAGCCGTGCCATAATGAGTGTGCATATAGCTCCAGATTATAATGCCCCTTCCTCCCTGGTTCCAAAACAAATTCACATGACTCTAGCAGCCAACTTGAGGAATGTAGGGACATACTCGAGGACTTTCACCACGGACCTGTAAAGGCTTGAACCACGGGCCATTTTATGGGCCAATAAAGTGAATAAGCGCATTGAGTATTTTACGACGGTGTTACTCACAAGTTAAGGGGACAAGGAAGCAAATCAGAGTAGTGTTGGATAGTATGTGGCTGAGAAGCATTCATCTAAATGTTTTAGTTTAATGGTGAAACTCAAACGTGTGTGTGATTTGATATTGTTTTTAAAATATCAACATTGATGTGAACCCACATGCATATTTTTTAAATTCTAAACTATTCCATTGCAGTCATTTGTATTTGCTTTAACTTTATGTTTCAGATTAGTTTACAAATACATAGTCATTGTTTTTTTTTTTTTTAATTAAGATCTTTTCTTTTTGCAGATAACCCAGTGGCAAATTGGATACACGCCCGCTCCACGAGGAAGAAGCGATGCCCTTACACAAAGTACCAGACTCTGGAACTGGAAAAGGAGTTTTTGTTTAATATGTACCTAACGAGAGACCGCCGTTTCGAGGTCGCGAGGGTCCTGAATCTGACGGAGAGGCAGGTCAAAATCTGGTTTCAAAACCGACGAATGAAGATGAAGAAAATGAACAAAGAAAAGAGCGACAGCAAAGAACAATAATGTGAACTGCAGCAGTGAGAAAACAACACTAATAACCACTAGTCACATGGACAGCACAGATGTACCAAAACACTCCTCGTCTTCATATTTATCACTTTGTTGGATTTTTTTGTATTAATCTTCTAATTCTGAGATTGTTTGATGCTGATTTTGTTATTTTCCAGTGCACATGTGTTAAAGACAGAACAAAACTTCTATTGAGATAATAACATTCTACGTTCACATGTTTTATTTTTTTTTTTGTAAGAGAAATTATACAAGTTGCAGTTTGGACACGTTCAAACTGTCTAAGAGAATACTTGAATTCTTTTGAATTTCACAAACCCATAATTTATGATGTGAATGTTTTCTTTCATGTTTAATTTCCTTTGTACGTTGCCACGCAGGTGTAGTATTTTGTACAGAAACAGAACATCTGCGCTCGGACTCGTCTGTCTTGTATTTTTTGTGATAGTCGTTGCTGTATTTGTGCATTTCTTTCTTTTTTGATTGTAGCGAGTTGAACTATAGACTGTAGATATAAATACAAACATAATCACTAAGTACTTGTATCCTGTATTCATTGTATCTCTCGTGTTCGAATTAAAGTAATGAGTTCAAGCTGCGCAGGGCCAAACAAACACAAGCGAAGTCAGTATCAGCCAAACTATTTCCTAGATTTCAAAACCGCAGGAATATGGAGTTACCAAATCAATACAAGCTAGGCTACGTGTTGCAAACAGATGGGTGTATTTAATTATTAAGATTAAGTAGGAAGTATTCCCCCTCATTATATGTTTTGGCCGACATGCATTCCTTCAAGTACAGCTAAGGCCTAAATGAGCTGCAGTCAATGGCGAGGTTAAAAACTTTACGTTGACAGCGTAGTTAAGGATTTAGCTAGACAACATTGTTTTAAAATTCTCTGCATTTAGTTAGATCGGTTCTTTATTAGTCATATTAAAGTGTCAGCTACGTGCAGTTACAGCAGTGCATTTATTTAAGGGTAACAAGAGTGTCAACGTGAAATAAACACACGTAATGGTTCTAATATAGGGTACAACGTGAATGTCTCAATAATCAATGGGCAATCCTTTTACGCTTAATAGTGATCTCTCGTTTCATTTATACAAACTATCCCATGGGTGATGGCAGTATAGTTGAAAATAAATTAAAAAAACAAAAGCGAATAATGCGTGCTGATGCATGTGCCATATTTATGGCCTACTCTGTGTCCTATATGTTGAATGGATCTAAAACATCTTTGTGCGGATATCAAAGATTAAAGATCGTGTTCGTTTAGAAATAATAACCACGTCTAATTTGTATTTTTTTTTAAATTAATTACATTCTTAATAAACGTGGATTGTTAATTTTATAGCCGTCATTCACCAGGCCCAAAGGCGATCAGAAAAATGTGCGACTTAATTTGAGTTTAAAGCGAGAGACAATTTCCCAAGTCTCACATTTGTTTCCTGGGATCGGCCTAAATTGCCTTTTTGTGGTGGCAAACAATACGGACAGGATGCTGTAATTTCAAAGCCCAATCCAGAGCATTTCCGCTCTGCTCGGACAAAAATGCCAGTTTTACAGCCCCTGTTGGAGCTCGGCTGTTTGTCTCAAATGCAGACCAACAAAGCAAACTCGACTCACTGGCTAGACGTCTGGGCTAAATTACTTTATGGTTTTAATGGACGCTGCTGCTGGACGCGTTCAAAGGAGAGTCATGCGCACCGGTGAGGGGACTGTTGCCTGATGAGCCAGCCGCAGCCCCCTGCACTTCATCACAAGAGTAAGCTATTAGCCTACAGTTAGATGGAAAAAGTCAATAGTTATTGTGCATAAATAAAATTGCTGCAGAGCATTGCTATCACATATACAAGACCAGGTAGCGCCAATGACAGAAAAATAAGACCCAAAACAACTTTTTTTTCTCCATCTTGTTGTAAAATAGAAGAGACTAGGTATAGATACACGTTTTGTCGTAAACTGCTTCTTTAGATCAGCTTTACTTAATGAAAGCACACAATGTCTGGACAACTGATGAGACTCTGTCTTCCATCACAGTCGTCTCTGATTGGTGGATTCCTTCAGAGTTATTGGCTCATCCTAACACTAGATGACGCTGTTGGTCCACGTTTTGAGCAGGATCTGTGTGTTGAAGTGCTGTTCTTTACAGCTCTGTGGCTTGGCTGTAAAATGAAGAGTAACCTATCGATGACAAAATGACAGATATGGTCGCCCGCTGCATTTTGTGTAATCGGCCACAGAGCAGAGCTGGGGAATGCAGAGAGCTGGTTGTTGTGTCTGGCACAGAGTGTGCGTACACAGGAATGTTTGTATATTTTCCACTTTAATTTTAAGTTTTATTTTGATCTTTCATTGATTTATTTTTTACTGAGGATTTATATATTTGAAATTAAGGTTTGTCATTGTATTTGCTGTAACAAACTCTTCTAATATGTGGGGTGGTGTGTGGCATTTTCTGAAATCCTTACCCATTGTTTACTAATTGAAGGTGCAACTTAAACGCAAAAAAAAGGTGTTAGTTTTTTTTTTTTACAGGGCAACAAGTTAAGCATTAGATGTTAGTACATTGTGTGTTCTGGCTCTTTGTCTGCATTTAATTCATAATTGCTGTTTTTATTTTTAAAGATGCAGGCTTATTTTAATGATGGAAAATGATTTTTCAATACATAAAAAAACATCAACATCGAGAAGCAATATTTAAGATCCTAAATTAAACTATTGCCGATGAGTTCTAAGACAGTTGCACAAGTAATAAAAATTCAACCAATAGTAACAATGACCGCAGAAACAATTACAACAAAACCAAAACATTACACTAAACTTGTTAATAATAATAATAATAATAATAATAATGATGATGATGATAACGACAATAAAAATAATAACAAGGACAATACAGATAATACGGATAATAATTGTAAGGATAATGATAATAAAGATAATCATAATGATAATCATAATAATAATGTACCAAAGAAGAGCTACGTGCTAATGTAAATGCTTAATAGTTGGCGTGTGAATCAGCAGCAGTGTATCACAGTCCTCACACGTGTGCAACATTGATTAACAATCTGCATATTTATAGAGTGTGAAAGGTCTTTAAATTCGAGCAGTGTGTCTTTCATTTTTTACGATGATGTGAATAAAACGTCAGTCGCGACAGAGAAAAGCACGCGGGCATATTTGGAGAGAGAGAGAGCCCTATACGAGACCGTGCACGCGCTCATTGTAGCTAAACATCGAATGTAAAATTTTATGAACTCCTCCACGCGGGAGATTTACTGCGTATCCTCGTCGGTTTTACGGGGTCAGTAAGTGGCACCTAGTATTCACAGGTCGTGTTTATGTTTGCGTGTGTCGGTGTTTTACGGCGCGCGGTGCAAGTGTGACGTTCTGGCCCTGCACTAGCCTTCACGAGGAGGATATTCTGTCTGATTCTAGTTTTATTCCAATTCTAACTCGCTCCTGCATAATAGTGTTGTTCTCTGTAACATTTTGGTTATCATGAACTACTCGGATGCCATGTTGACCTCCTAGAGCTCATAAAAGGTCAACTATTTTCAGAAATTAGTCTGTAACCTTTATTGGGGTGCTGGGAGGGCAAACACTAACCCATAACCTCGTTATCCGCTGATAAAGGGGATATATTCGTGTTAAAATGCAACAATAACAAGTTAAACTACACTCAATATATAGTAAGAATACGTCACGTGTTACTCTGTCTTTATATCTGAATCTTTCCACAACAGCTTCATTGATCAGCTTGTACCACAGCTCTCGTGAAATACACAACATTGATCATATTTAAAGCCTCTTAGGTTGTTGCTTATGATTAGTGCAGCTCCTCTCAAGGTGGAAATATACGTAGGGCCCACGTCTGACCGCTCGTCGAGAGATGAAGGGGTGGGGGTGAGCGGTGGTGGAGGAGGGTGAGGGGGGGGGGGGGGGGGTGCCTGTGGTGGTGGGTTGGGTGGGAAGCTTTAAAAAAAAGGAAAAAGAAAGAAAAGCGTCTGTGACTGTGCCGGACGAGCAAGCCAGCTTTAAGCGTATAGCTAAACGCACATGCATGCCATGAGCCGGGTTTGAGCCTGTGTGAAAAAAAAAAAAAAAACAAGCCCCACTCACAACTGCGAGAGAAACCCGATGAGAGGAACGGCTCAGAGAGAGTGAGGCTCCGTAGATTGTCCAAAGGGGCAGCGTTTCTCCTAGTTCCGGTTTGTCTGCCTGTGCGCGCTGTGCGAGTTGGGACCCTAAACAAAAGGCTGCCATCATCCTAAAGGAGATATTCTGCCGCGAGAGAGCCTTGTCTGCTTGATGCTAACCAAACATGAGCTCCTATTTTGTTAACCCTCTTTTTTCTAAGTACAAAGGCGGCGAGTCACTGGAGCCAACTTACTACGACTGCAGGTTTCCACAAAGCGTCGCCCGCAGCCACACGCTCGTTTACGGACCCGGAGCAGCCGCACCGGGCTTTCAGCACCCGTCCCATCATGTGCAGGACTTTTTTCACCACGGGACCACGGGGATATCCAACCCCGGATACCAGCAAAACCCCTGTGCTTTGGCGTGCCACGGAGACGCGACGAAATTTTATGGATATGAAGCCCTTCCGAGGCAAACGCTTTATGGTACCCAACAAGACGCAAGCCTAGCGCAATACCCAGACTGTAAATCGTCGAGCAGCTCTAACCCCGGAGAAGGACAAGGCCACTTAAATCAAAACTCCTCTCCCAGTCTTATGTTTCCCTGGATGAGACCCCACGGTCAGAATCAAATTATTTCCTATTCTTTCTGTGTTGCTCTCTGTGTGTGTGCGCGCGCGCGCGTGTGTGTGTATATGTGTGTGTTTGTGCACGTGTGTCTACCTCTGTGTATGTATTTGTGTGCTAAATGTGCCTTATTATCCACGTGTGAGTGTGTTAACTATAAAACGAAAGAAGTGAGCGAACATGATGGGGCACATAGAACCTGTAGTGCAGGCTGTTGTGTCTCTGCAGCACATGTTCATACAGGGCTGAGCTGCTGCTTTCTAAAGTGCCTTTAACGCACTATTACAGATCACAGCTCATGACACCAGCTCTTTGAAGTCAATTATCGTTGACATAAGATATTTCACAAACTCTAACCGCACTTGGGGGAAAGATGAATAAGTCACAGTTGAAAATATGTTGGTGCCACACACATACATATACACACACACACACACACACACACACTAGTAGCATGCAGAGTGACAGGAGAGTTAGCTCAAACACAACATGTGCCGATGATCCAGACTCAGCTTTTTTTTAGGGGTTTTGGGGGGGTAATTTGACTCCACAGGCCCAAAGACTTATACAGCTATAACCATAAAGCCTTTATGTAGATATAACCTCTCCTCCATTCATGGCTCATTCTGTTAAAGCTATCAGGCTACATAAAGTCCACACAGGTGAAAGCTCAGTTTCTATCTGAGAGATATTTATCATCAGTCTGACCCCATCTGTTGTTACAGTACAGTTTTGTCTCATCCCTATCTTTTTTATACACTTTT